TACTTCTAGTTTCAGAAGTATTTTAAATGATGAAACTGCCAGGATATTTAATTTTAAAATTTACAATTTTTGATGTGATTTTTATTTTGCTTATGAAATTGGTTTAATTAATTTATGATTCGAGAAAGTAAGTTTAAATGAAGTGCATCAAAAATATAGAAGTGTTTTAAATGATGAAAATAGTCATGTTTTGGCAATGTCAAATGTAAAGGAAAAAAAATAGTAATTTTGGGTAAATAACGAAATCTTTTAATGCAGTCTCTTGGTTGCTGTACTTATATTTGGGAAAGTTTTATACTTGTTATGAAAAAATATAATTGGAAGAAGTTTAGCTCCCATACAACGAAACTTGACTGGGATAGTTAATTTCAAAATTGGCAGTTTTTGATGTTGTTTTTAAATTGCCTGGAGGGATTGGTTAATTACATCAAAATAATAAGTTTGAATGAAAGGCAGTAAAAATGTGTATAATGTAATAGGCCATACAAGGAAGTCATGTAGTGCCCGCATCAGATTTTTCTACTGAGTTCCTCTATTTGATGCTGATAAATCTGATCTTTTCACAGTTTTCAGTAGAAATAGGTTTTTGGTTATTATTAGAAAGTATATATTATAAAACAATAATAATAAAAAAAAGAAAGGAAGCGTGAGAATTCAAGTTTTTAAATCTAGAATCCTTTTCAAGATTCATGGAATTTAAGGACTACAGCATTTCACTATTTTTAATTATATGCAGGATGTTCAAAAGAAGTGACTACAAACTGTGTTTGTTATTAATCTTACAAGTTGACTTACAATATTTTTTAAAATAGCTTGCAATATTTTACAAAAATGTGTTGTGTTGTGCGTGTGTTGTAAATTTCTTAAAAAGTGTCAAACTTTTTATAAGGCCCCCATTGAAATAAAATTCCAAATGTTCCATTGTTCATTGATTAGCTTTAAAAAAAAAAAAGGAGGAATAAAACTTTGCATGTAAAATTCAAGGAGATATTTCAGAGCTAATTTACTGTGTCTTGTTTTATTTTCTCATGTCTAGGCATGACAAAATAAAACAAGTCAGTACCAACTTGAGGAATGAAAAAATAAAACAAGTCAGTACCAACTTGAGGAATGAAAAAATAAAACAAGTCAGTACCAACTTGGATGCAAGACTCCTGAGAGCAAATCAAAAGGAGAGTTGCAAAATAAATGCTTCTGATTTTGTGGTTAATAATTTTATTTTGCGTAAAACAGCACTGACACTGAATCTGCGATTTCCTTTCACCCCAACTACAGCATTTTTAATACTATGAGTGATCAGTACAGATGAGTCTTCATATAAATTAACAATTTTTAAAAAAAATATTCCCTTAATTTAATTGTCACTTATAAGAACGAAGACGGCTCTTTCTGAAAATTAGTGCTCTAAGCATGTTGATCTGCATGTGTGATCTGTGTTTGAACATGCCCTGATCCCTTTTATCTTTTATAAAAATATTTATCTGTATTTTAATGAATTTTTTATGCAAAAGTAGCAAATTTCTTGTTTTAGTTAATTCAAGGATACTGAATATTTTATTTATTGAAATTTCTGTAGTATGGGAAGTCATTTAAAAGGTTGAATTTTTCAGCAGAACTTTCCCAGTCTGTAATATTGAAACCTTAAATGTAAAATCCTGATTAATTTATATCTAGGATCAGTATTAATGAAAATAAAGCTTTAATCTTTTTCAATTTTGGTATATTTTATTTTTGCAATATGTACTACAAAATTGGAAACTGGTCTACTATAAAATCTGAAACTAAATATTTACTAAAGTGTCAAACTGGTTGCCCTGAAGCAAGCTATGCTGTCCACAAATATTTTTTCAATTATCATGTATTTTATTTCTACAGTATAGACTAAAGTCAGAAACTGGTCTACTATAAAGTCTGAAACTAAATATAAACTAAAGTCTCAAACTGGTGGCCACAAAGGAATTTTATGTGGCCCACAAATACATTTCAGTTATGTATTTGTGTGTGTGTGGCCCACAAATACATTTCAGATATGTATTTTTTACGAATTATTATTTATTGTAACCACTTTAATAGAAATCGCCAACTTTTCAGAAATCAAACTCTGGGAACCATGTGCATAACAGTTTTTTAAGTAACTATATCCATTGTAAATTACAATCCAAAAATTCACTGAATCACCTTTTTCTGTAAAAAAACTTCCAAATGGCAATTCCTCATTATGAATTTTTGTGCTAAGAATAATTGCTTCTTTTAGAAATACACTTTTGTATGAACAGCATTGTTTTTTTTCCCAGGATTGAAAATTATTAAAAAAAGAATACAATTGACTGATGACACAATCAGTGATGAAAATAATTTCTAGTAGTTTCTGTGTAAGGCTACAAACTTTATCAGAGTTGAAATACCATCTAGTGTCAAACTATATTAAGAAATAAAGAAATTTATGATTATTTACAAACATATAAATTTTTTATTTATGAAGTTTAGAAAAATTTAATGAATAAGAGAAATAGAGTGAATTTATTATTCTCGAGTTTTGTTCCACTTGGAAAATTTCTCTTGAAACTTAGAAAGTTTTCATAATTTGTTTACTTTTAGTTTAAATTACATTATTTCAGTGGCGGCTCGTAATAAGCACTGTGGAACTGCAGCACCCCCTATTTCCACTTATTATAATTTTTAATATTTAATATAGTGTGCCCTTTAGGCTTTAATTCTTTCTTCATACTTTTAAAGTACATAATCATTAAGCTTAATGTCAGTAGCCATCCCCCGGTTTGTGAAAAAGTCTTTGGAACTGCGCGCTTCACAGCTCCAGCGGCATGGCATTTGGCTGTTCTGCGCGTGCGCACACAGAAAGCAGCACGCCGAGCCAGGGAGAGAGAAAGCACTATCACTCTTGCAGTGCCGAAATTCTGGCGTGTTGTTGGGAACGTGATTTCTTTTTACTCCCCGCGTGTCATATTCCTCCACAAGGTGCAACTTCACCATACGGACCAAAAACAGAGTTCATGAAAATTTGCAACCTTTAAAAAATTGCCTTACTGAAATTCAATCAACATCAAATGCAAATCAAACTATTGCAAAAGCAACAGACATTTTAAAATATCTAAATGATGATGATTTCAAGTTTTGGTTAGAGCTTTTTTATCAGATTATGCCTCATGTTGAAATAATATATAACTAAATGCAATCCAGAGAAATTAGTGTGTTTAAAGTTAACGAATATATAACAAATTTCAAAACTGCTATTTTACAATTAAGAAACTCAAAGTGTTGTGATAATTTTTCAAAGACACTGATGGCAGAAGCTAAGGAAATATGTGATTTTATACTATGTATTGGTATAATGCACAGATATTTTTCTCCACTAAATACTTAGCAGCTGCTAAATTATGTAACAAGAAATGCTTCGCTAGTTTTAGGAATGTACATTCTACAGAAGAAATAGTACTGACCACTGAAGCATATCCAATGATTGACAAAGAAAAGCTTGAAACTGAACCCAAAAGTATTCTATTGTAGGTCTGATATCCATGAATATTGCAAATTAATTGAGCTACTGAAATTTATCTTCGAAAATAATCTAGATGATCTCGGTGAAATTTACGAAACTGATAAAAATTCTCTTGAGAGTACCCGTGACTATATCAGTGGCAAAATGCTGCTTTTCAACATTGAAAATAATGAAAACTTTTCTAAGAAGCACTAGGAATTCGTAAAGACTAAATACGCTTGCTTTGCTTTAAATAAAGCAAAATTTCCTCAGTTGTCGTCCAGAGATCAAGAAGAAAATTATTGATCTTTCCGCACAAATTAAAACTAGAAGAATGGATTTCATTTTTAAATAAATAGATATAGATTGAACTGTATCAGTTTAGTTCAAAGTAATTAAGAAATGTTTAATTTTTTTCTCGTAAGCTTTCATGATGTTTCAAAATAAATTTTCTTTTTATACATGTTTGTTTCCTTTTACACAGTTTTGAAACAGAGGTTAAATTTTTTTGGAACAGCACTCACTAATTTTAGCTGAGCCGCCACTGCATTATTTGATGATCAACTAAACATATTAGAATAATTTGAAGTAAATATCACTCTAAAAATTTAATATTTGGTTCTTGTGTATTTGAATTATAAAGGGTAACTAACAAAAACATCTTGCAGATACAAAACTTTAGACTTCAGTTAGAAATTATAAATTTGACTTTTTCCCATTCCAGTATTATTATTATTATTTATGTGTATTTTGATAAATATTTAGTAAGTGAAATTTAAGAATTATTTTAAATATTTTTCTATTTTATTAATAAAGTCATTTTGATGAAAAATCTGGCTCATCAGTGGTTTTCAGGTTTAGCATTTGGGCAACATGTAGTTTGAGACTACTGCAATAAAATACATACAGTAGGATGTGTAACTATGGGTACATGTGTATCTTAATCTGGTGCTTATGTATGCCTGTTGTTTTCATAACTGTGTGCAACATGCTAGTAAATTTGTATCTTGCTGTTGTAATCATGTGCAATTTCTACAGCTACCAATAGTAAGCAAACTCTATCACAATTGAAAATGCAATTGCTTCTTTCAAACATGCTGGGAAAACCACATGGAAGTAATGCATAACTTCTTAAATGGAGTAAATTTTGATACCCTTTAGATTGTAATTGCTCTTTATTTCATAAATTACGGTTTTATATTTTTAATTTTATAATTTCTACATGCAATCTTACCAGATTTAAACTGGTGATTTATAATTCGGAAAAACCGATAATCTGGAATAGCCGAAGTCCCGATGAGTCCTGATTAAAGACTTTTGACTGTATATTCTTTTGAAACAATATAATTGAGAACTGTTCCATTTTCCAAGCAAAGAATTCTGTGAGACATAAAAAGAAAAATTGGAAAATTCTCAAATAATATGTTGGTTCTAAATTTGTATTCCCGTGAAATTTAAGTATGTGCTAAAATTGTGAATTTTTAATTCATTTTAAATGTTTCAGGATCCAAATGCAGATACAGAATGGAATGATGCTTTAAGGCGTCATGGAATAATACCACCCAAGGAAAAAGAATTTACTGAAGATGAAATTGTGAATCTTGTTGAAAATACAATTCAAGAAAAGATGCGGGGCGAGTGTTTTTTTTTTTTTTTTTTTTTTTTTTTTTTTTTTTAATGATGCATATATTAGAAACTTTACACTACTTCTTTAAATTTTTAAACCTTTCAATGCCACTGCTTGTTTGGTTTCAGACTTAATACATTTTTCAATTGTAGATTCTCGTATTTCCTTTAGATTTGCATACATATGTTTGTGCATGTACATATACGAGGGCTGTCCGAAAAGTTTCTGACATGAAGACATATGTAGATGGCAGCACAAATTAACTGAAGTGGAGGAACTTGTTTGGGCCTCATTTGATTCTCATAATCAAAATTTCAGCTATTTGGAAAGAGATTTTTTTTTTTGACAATTATTTTTATGAGTTGATTTGACCGTTTTTGCAAAAATGAAAAAAATCAAGTATTGAGCTGTCAATATAAACTTGTTTTTGAAAGGTAATACGCTTTCACAGATAGAAGATGCTGTGTACAAGGACTCTGCACCATCATTTACTACTATGAAATTTTGGGCAGCTGAAATTAAAAAAGACCATTCCAGCTTAGGTCATTGAATGCTTAAGATGAACATTTAGGATGGCCAAAAACTGCAGCTACTGATGAAAATATCGCTAAAGTTCACCAAATGCTGCTGGACAACTGTCAAGTCAAGGTTAGAGAGATGGTTTCAAAATATTCTAAGATTGCTATAAATTGACATCAATGACTTTAAAAATGTAACTTTTAATATGTACAAAATTTACAGATCATTAATCAAAACATGGTGGTTCAGTTGACAAACAAATCTATATACTTTCATAATCAAAAATCGAAATCTTGTAAATAGGAACCGAAGTGTTCCTAATCAAATAGCGTATGAAGCATCTAACATCCATCTATCGAGCTGCCGCTATCTATCGAGATGGCGCTAGCGTTGCGTTCAACATGCAATGCTAGCGCCATCTCTCAATTAATCAAAATAATTTCCACAGAGATAGCAGAGGGTATCAGTATGTCCAAAGAACGTGTTTACCGCTTATTGATCCAAGATGTAAGTATGCCCAAGCTGGCTGTGCATTGGATGCTATGTTTGCTCACTTTAGACTCAAAACATGTTCAAATGAATATTTGCACCACTTCGGTGGCACAGTTCAGGTGCAATAAATCAGAGTTTTTTCGATGATTAATCCCTGTAGATGAAACTTGGGTTCATCATTACTATCAGTAAGTTAACTAGAACATTAAAGGTCACATGTATAAATAAACATTAAAAATTACATGCATAAATAAAGCGAACAAAAGCAGAGAACAGCAGTCTGGACTTCACGAAAACAGATAAGTTCACTGGCCAAGTCACTTCGAACATTTTCAAATCATTCTGTAAGCATAATCTAGGGCCATCAAATGTAGGGCACGAGAAAATCAAATGTTCCACATCCTGAAGAACTCTTTTTGAACATTCACATAAATTGTTTGATCGTAGATTAAAATGAAACAGATAACTTGCAAATTTACCGTGACCAGATAAAAACTGAGACACTTTAAAATTTAACGAGAGGAAAGACTCGGAATTCAGTCTATGGTAAATAGAAGGAAGGAACTTTTTGGTGACTTCCGCATTACAAGATGAAATGTATTCCTCATTCCACATAGCTAAAAGCTTTTTATAATAAGAGGACTTCCAATAACTCTTTGGAATGCTAATGTTGATATCAATGGGTAAATTTAAGGCATCTTTAGCTAAGAAATCAGCTCTTTCATTCCCGTAGAAACCATGATGAGCACGCACATAAGCAAAGCAGATATCAATACCTCTAATTCTAAGTGAACTAACAGTTACTAGGGTTTCGATAACTAATTTATCGCAGCTGGTAATACTGTTCAAAAGTTGAAGAGAAGAAAGAGAATCAGAACAAATAAGGTACTTTGAGGATGCTGTCCCATGATCCTGGATCCACTTGACGGCAAGATAAATGCACAGAAGTTCTTCTTGAAAAACTGTACATTCATTCCGTATACGGTGTCTAAGAAAACAAATCTCGGAATTGCCTTCAAAAAGAACAAATGCAAGGCCAACCTTGTTGTTCATCTTGCTGCCATCTGTAAAGAAAACCATATGAAAATTTATTTCAGCAGTCTCTTTATAATCGCAGAAATTTATGGGTTCTAAAGAAGCGGGATGAGGAAGATCAGTGAAGGGGACAATTCCATTAATACAGTCTTCCGAAGCATGAGTTGCCAATGACTCAAAAATATTATTCTTATATGCAATTTCAAAATCAATAGGCGGAACTCCTGCAAGAACAAAAGTAGCCTCATAGCTTAAGGTTCTATAACCACTAATAATACGAAGAAGAATTCTCCGTTGAATCTTTCTTAAATTTCTTTTGTTAACCTTCTTGGCAAGAACATGTCCCCAAGCACGACAGCCGTACGAAATGAAAGGTACAATACACTGCTTATACATGAGTTTCTTAACATCGTAGCTTACTCCAAAAGTATTTTTGGCAATTCGGTGAAAGCCATTAATAATTTTTTCACATTTAGCAGAAAGGAATTCAATGTGCTTTTTCCATGTAATTTTTGGTCAAGAATGACACCAAGATATTTAACATTTTCTACAAATTCCAACGGAGAATTATCGAGCATCAAAGAAGCAATATTTTGTTCATCAAACGTACTGGGAACAAGCATAACTTTACTTTTTGAAGGATTGAAAGTGAGTTTATGAGAAATCGCCCAACTGGAGACAAAATCTAGAACTTCTTGTGCTCTCAAAAGAATGTTATTCAAAATCCTTCCTTGGAAAATTAATAGTAAGTCGTCTGCAAACGCAATTTTTAAACAACCGTCGAGATGACTTAAAAGATCATTTATGATTATGTTCCAAAGAGTAGGTCCGGATACAGAGCCTTGAGGACAGCCTTTTTCTAGAGAATAAACCTTAGCTTCGTTCCCAAGCTGAAGCTCAGCAGTCCTCTCGTTCAAGAAGCTTTTGAGAAGGTTATAGATATTATGTGGTATACCAGCATCTTTTAAAATTTTTAAGATAGATGGCCACCAAGCATTATCAAAAGCTCCTTTGAAATCCAGGAAAATAAGAAGTGTAGTATACTTCATTTTCTTTGCACACTGCAAGATATTACAAGGCGAATAATGGCGTCTTCAGCAGACTTCCGAGGAGTAAATCCGAACTGAGAATCATTATAAAAGCATTTTTGTCTCAAATACCAATTTATTCTGTTAATGAAGAGAGTTTCAAGACATTTTCCCAAAGTAGGCAAAAGACTAATGCATCTAATATTATCAAGATAAGGGGTTCTTGTATCTAACGTTTTAGGAATCAAAACAACCCGAGCTCTCTTCCATTGTGCTGGAAAAACTGCTAATTGTAAACAAAGGTTGAAAAGTTTGTGTAGAAATGTGCTATCCACCGCATGAAAGTGCTGTATCATTTCATTAGAAAGAGAGTCAAGCCCAGGTGATTTGTTCTTCTTGAGATTTTTAATAACACTGTTAACTTCTGAAGTAGAGAACAGACAGTCCCATAAAAGAAAATATAAGGTCCATCAGACTCAGTGCGCATAGTTCTATGAGAATTTCTATCATCACGCGCATTATCTCTTGGGAAATTCTTTGTCATTATGGCAACAATTGTATCACTCAAACTCGAAGTAACACTGCCATCCGGAAGTTTAATTCCCGAAATATCAATCCTTTTCGCAAAATTGGTCTTGACCCCATACTTATATATAGATTTCCAGACATTGTGAACAGTAATAGTTGATAGAAAATTTCTCCACGACTCAAGCTTAGCATTAGCTAATTTAGCCTTGTACTTATGCCGCAATTCGAAATATTTAATTTATAAATATTTTAAGAGAAGACAGTTTCTTTCTCTCTGGAATCTACGCCTAGCAGCATTTACATGCTTTCTATAACAATCAATTTCCTTAGACCACCAAGGGACCCCATTCTTCTTACTTTTCTTCATCGGAATTGAAAGTAAAGCACAATTAAAAACAACGGTAGAAAGTCTGTTTACAACATTTTCTAATGCAATACAATCAGAGCAAACTGTTAAGAAGAATATTCAAGTTACACAATTCTCTCTTACAAAGTTCAGTAAATAAAAACCAGTTCGCTCTTTTTAAATTAAAAGTACACAAATTAGAAGATATAATCGGACGGCATAAAACAAGTTCAAAGATAATCATTTTATGGTCAGAAAGAGAATCTTCCTCAGAGATATCCCAACCTTGAACGTATGGCAGCAGTCCTAAGCTACAAAGCGTAAGGTCAATATAACTCGAGCCTCGCGTCGAACAGAAAGTAGGTCCGCGATTTTCATTAAGTAGAAACAAATGATTCGCACTAATAAAATCACTAAGTTTCGTTCCCGTAGCATCAGTAATAGGACTATGCCAAATCGCTGATTTGCTATTCGAATCCATACCACATAAAAAATTGCATGGTTTCTTCATCGTTAAAATTTGTGAAATTTTTAATAGTTCTATGTCAATATTTGTTTGGGGCTCGAAATAAGCGGAACAAATAGTCAAGTCAGATCCATTGATTTTTATATCTAAAACAACAGTATTATAAACTGTATGATTTAAGTCCAAAAAAGGAGAAAGATTCTGGTTGCGAACAATAATAGCAGACTTGACAACTTCTGCTTCGGAATCATAGTAAACTTTATATTTTATTGGAAAGCCAGGAAGAACACCTTTATAAAAGTGCGGCTCCTGAATCAGTGTCATTTGCCTCCATATATAAAATAAGTTGCTGAGTAGCAAGTTTTGATTTGTGCAAATTTATTTGTACAAAAGAAACAGACAAATTGTCGGACTTACCCATAATAAATTTTTGAAGCTGCAAGATTCATCATAAATGTATGGCTGGGGCAAGTTCCAGAAAATGGCTTATGATTTACATCAACTTTCTTAGTTGCATTTTTCGTCTTTTTATTAAATCTTATGCAATTAATACACACTTGCACTTCTTTTTTATCACATTCTGAACTCTTATGCTCACCAGAGCAGCAATAACAAGCCAAGGGATTTCTGCAATCAAGACTTCTGTGGTAGCCTAAACATTTAAAACATCTATTTAAAACAACAAAATCTTCAGCTTTACACATATTCCACATCACTTTAATACGCCCAAAATTTAAAATACGCTTGCGCACAGAAGGATGCACCTCAATAACCACGCTTCTCTCACGTTGAAACTTTACACGTTGAAGTAAAGCGAACTTTAACGTCTTTCCAAGTCTTTTCACTCACGGTAATTTCAGGATTTTGTTCTTCAATAATTTTTAACAGTTCATCATTACTAATGCTGTTTGGCACACATTTTTAAGTAAACTGTAGGATATTTTCGTCTTGAAATAGAGGGATTCAAAATAGATGAGTCTTCCTGCAAAGCAGTAAACAGTTTTTCTTTATCATATTCCGAAGCACATTTCACCATTACTTTATTGTTATGAACTGTTCGAATATTGCTAATTCCAATTTTATGTTTCCGAGGGTTGATTTCAGCTTTAAGGAGCTTTTTAACTTCATCAGATGTACAGTTTTGGGCACTCACAAAAACACAGCAATCTGAATCAGTCTGATTTGTCCCAACAGATGGCGCCACAGCATTAGCATACGATTTCGTTTGCATGACTGAATTCAATAAGCTTTCTTTACAAGCTTCACGAAAATTTACAGATTTAATATGCTCAACATACCTAGTAATCAAACTTTTAATCTCACCCAAAGCCTTCTTCGCATCATCACGGAGAATTTGCTCCAAAAAAAAGGCAAAAACTGTTCCTTCTGCTGGGAAAGTAATCATGACTGGGACAGCCATGGGACTGTCTTAATAGATTATCTTGAAAAGGGAAAAATTTTAACCAGAGCATACTATGAAATGTTACTTGACAAGCTGAAGGCAGAAAGTTTAGGAAAACATCCACATTTGGGAAAGATAAAAACTTTGTTTTACCAAGACAGTGCTTTGTCTTGCACCTCCGTGGTTGCAATGGTGAAAATCCATGAATTATGGTTTGAACTGCTTGACTACCCACCTTACTTCACTGGGCATGACCACAAGTGCCTTTTTTTTTTTTTTTTTTTTTAAGCTAAAAGAAGCACTTGGAGGAGAAAGATTTTCAGAATTTTAACCCCCCCTTATCCTAGTCACGATCAGAAATCAGAAAGTGATTGCGACTGGCATAGCCATGGCATTGTCTTAATAGATTGTCTTGAAAAGGGAAAAAAGATTACCAGAGTATACTTTGAAATTTTGCTTGACAAGCTGAAGGCAGAAATTGTAGAAAAATGTCCACATTTGGGGGGGGGAGGAATTATTTACCCAAGACTGTGCTCTGTCTCATACCTCAGACCTCAGTGGTTGCAATGGCGAAAATCCATAAATTGTGGCTTGAACTGCTTGACCACCTGCCTTACCTCTCCAGACGTGACCTTAAGTGCCTTTTTTGTTCCAAGCTAAAAGAAGCACTTGGAGGACTAAGGTGTTTTTGTAAATGAGGAGGGGATGAACTTTATTAAATGAAGAGAAAGATTTTAAATATTATTTGGATGGGTTAAAAGGATAATAGCATCATTGAGAGAAATGTATAGACTTATAAGGAGACTATGTTGAAAAATAAAAATAAATTTTGAACAAAAAATATCTTTTTCCTGTGTAAGGTCATTAACTTTTCAAACAGCCTACATTACATACGTACTCAGGCAAAGCTGTAGTAAAACTGTTACAGCTTTAAAAATGGTGAAAGTAAGAAACAAAATAAACTTTACATGCTGTATTATGTATGTCTGTTATTCCCTTTGTATTAGTAACAAATAAACGTACTTTGTGTATGTTATTTTTAGGGTAGTTTATTTTTATTGGTATTTATTGTCTTAATTTGGAAGTTGCAGTTTTTTAAAATTATGTGATTTTTTTGGTTACATAATATGATTTTTTGTTTTTAGTGTTCTTAATAAAACTCAGTTTTTTTTAAAAGCCTGCAGATCTTTAAATTTTTTAATGACATTCTGTGTTCAAATCATTTAATTTTTTTTAACTGTCAGCTAAGAAAACATTTGATGAAATATGAGTCTTAATAAAATTCCTTGTTGGTTACAATGTTATGCATCTTGCACGTGAAGTATTTTAAGCCCATGAATTCAAAATGATAATAATAGTTTAATATTTTATTATTGTAGAGGATGGTAATAAGAAACTTGAAGATATGTCTCTTGATGAACTTGACTTTATTGAAGATGAAGAGGATGAAAGAGTCTTATTAGAATACAGGTTACCTTCAATCCTTATTTTTTTACAACCTGATTGTGATTATTTTATGCATTAGGCATAAAATTTATTTCTTTGGATATATTAAATTAAATATATAATGTTTTCTATATTTATGTATGAGTCTTATAAAAAGAGCTTAGTATAATAAAATATATTTGGACATCTAGACTTTATGGTTCTCCATTTCATATAAGAGACATCAAACAGCTCCAGTATTTACTGTGTTCAGCTGACATTCTGTCAGGAAAACTGCAGAAATATTTTGAATATTACAGATATTATGCCATACCATTCATTGGGAGGAGGGGGTTAGTGTCAGCTTTTAACACCATTTGGGGCATGGCATGTAAGTGTGTTCCATTTCCTTCCAGAAAGGTTCAGTAGGATTGAATTGAGCTGGCTAATCCAATTCTTCAATATCTATACATCTATGCCCTCATCAATATATCTATGTGTGTTATGTGCTGCATGGACCAGAGCTCAGCTGCACTGAAAAATGAACATTCCCTCAACAGACTTTTAGCTTAGTCTGACAGTATAAAATTATCAAGATAAGCCACCATGTTCATCATTCTATGGGCAGAAACCAAAAGCCCAATTCCAAATTAAGGCAAACTGTTCTAAACCTTTTATCCCCCTTCATCAGACTTCACTTGCAATGTACTTGGTAAATGTCATTTAACCAGCAGTAGTACAAGTAGATATTTTAATTTTGCAGTACCAAGTACAGCAGGTGTTTGAAGACCAGAAGAGAAAAACGAGTTCATGGGAAACTTTTTAAAAGTGGAATTGGCAGAACTATACGTGTCGATGCCAAAGATTTAAAAAATAAAAATTAAAAATAAAAAAAAACTTTTAGGGCTACATTATCTAAGACTGAGGAACTTAAGACCTTTTACAATGTTCTCAGCTATATGACCTTACAGTTGTTAATCTGAGAAAAATATTAAGCTATTCTAAAAGAAATTCCAGAGCCCATTCCTTAGAAAACATTCACAGTTTTTATTTTAGTAAAGATTGACTTTGCATATAACTTTGATGGTTCAGTGAAAATGATAGATCTGCTGGTTGAACTTTTTATTGAGAAACACTTTGAGAAGTATTATGCTATGGGCTCAAATGTAACAGACTTGATGCAGAAGTTGAGGTTATTAAACACATTTTAATTTTTTTTCTATTTAATGTAATAAAATAATTACAACTTTTAAAAATATTTTCCTTTACATTGCTTCTTAGGCTGTAGTGTTAGTTCTTGTCTCCCATGCAGCAAATGATTTCTCTCGAAGGAAAGATGTCCGATCCAAACGTCAAGTTAACTCTTTTTGTTAAAAAAACCAGTTTCTAGTAGTTTTCTAGCTACTGCAATGTTCCAATAAATAAGAAAAAATCCTTTCCTAGACAAAGATAGCTGCAAAATGAAACAGCAGCCTTTTACCTTACCATTTAACCAGCTTGCTTTCTGATAATAAAGTTGATACAGAAAATATTCACAAAGTGCAGCATGTTTAGGATTCTGTGCATAACAAATTTAGTCTTTATCTCTTCTTCGATTCTACTCATAAAATATATTAAAGAGCTGTTCTATTTAGAATAAAAGACCAGAGTGCTGTTTTTTATTTTTATTGTTTTTTATCACTAATTTTAGACTTTTTATTGGCATTACATTCTCCAAAATCATGTACATTGAACTGGTATGGTTAACCTTCCTTATTATTCTTTATGTTTATCTGAAGAATTGCTTAATTTTAGTCATTTCATGAGGAATATTTCTTTGCTTGTTACCATGACAGCTTTTACTCTTAGACTAAATAATGCTACAAGAAGGCTGATGCAACTGATGTTTTGCCATAGAGGGGGGGGGGGAATTCTTTTGACAGTGTGATTGTCTTTCAGTTCATTTATTTCATTTTAACTTATTTGATTCTTTTTTGTGTTTTATGTGCATCTAATTAAATTTTTAATGCTTGAATATTTGGTTGTGTGTTCTATACTTCAGATTTATGAATGACATTACTAAAAAATTATGGGAAGGAGACCTAATGTTGTAATTATCGAGACTTTGGCATTTATGAACAGTATACTTGAAGTGCATATATAGTATTAAGATTTAAAGAAACATAGTCTGTAAGAACTAATTTCAGATGTACTATTTGATAAAAAAATAAAAATGAATAAATTAACTGTACATCTTTAATGTCATTGTTTCTAATATTCTGTGTACAGGAAGAAGAGGTTAGCTGAAATGAAAGAACAGGCAGCAAAAGAGAGATTTGGGGAAGTGAGAGACATATCTGCTGCAGATTATGTAGAGCAAGTGAATAAAGCTGGGGCTGGTGTTTGGGTCGTCTTACATCTGTATAAACCTGCGTATGTGACAACTATATATTATCCTTTTGCATAATTTATTTTGATTTAACATGCATAAGGTTTTACCTTTATTGGGGAAAATCACTTTTTAAGTGTAACTGAAAAGCATTTCTGAGAACTTAACATTTGTAACACAAAGGGCTAATTTTATGTTCCATTATTTTGAAGTACTTTTGCTTTTAGTGTTGTTAGATGAACATTTAAATAATAAGTGCAAAAAAAGTTTGATTGTTGTATGACAAATATTGTCAACATATTTAATTTTAAAGTTTGAAATCATGCTCAGAAGCCATGCACAAAGTGAAGAGAGAAAAGTTGGCATTTCTTTGTACATTACTGAAAATGAAATCTCTATTTAGAAATCTGTTTCTGATATTGAGAGAATAAGTCATGAATATTAATGTGCAAATTTTCATGAAAATTGTCAATAAATATAATTTTTTTTCAAAAATTATTAATGAAATATCACATACCATATTTGGCGCCATATAAGATGCACTTTTTTCCTAAATTTGGTCTCAAAAAAGTTATGTGCGTCTTGTACGTGAAAGACACAGGTTAACTTTCAATACTGAATGCTATTTTTAGCCCGGATAAAGGTCTAGACACACATAACTTTTACTACATTTGCCATAATTATTTTGCGCGTGCGTGAAATAACTGTCATCAAAAAGTGCCAAAGCTCGAAGCTGATGTCAAAGTTCAAACAGGTTCGATGGTCACATTACATGTATGGAGCCTATCCTTCTTTACATAGACTTTATTTGACTCAGCCAACACACGTGTCGTTATCGGTGCTACTCTGTATAAACATGTCAGAATCGGTGCTTAAAACTATTTGTTTAAAAAAAATACCCTGGAAAATATGACTACAGGAAACAAGAGATTAAGCTACAATTCAGTATAAACTAGGAGTGTTAAACTACGCCAAAGTGCATGGAGACAGAGCAGCAGCATGGCATTTCAGTCCACCACCTACCGAAAAAATTATACATACTTGGCGACTGCAGGTGGATCAACTGAAGACTGCTAAAAAAAAAAAAAAACATAACCTTCGATGCCAGCTCCATCTTGGCCTGAACTTGAAAATGCCGTAAAAATGTGGTTGATAGATAAGAGGAAATCTGGGATAAGTGTTTCAACCAAAATGATAATCACTGAGGCCATAGGATTTGCAGAAAAACATGAGAATCAGAACTTTTCAGGGTCTGAGGGCTGGTGCTACAGGTTAATGAAAAGGCAAGGCTTATCAATGCGCACAAAAACAACTATTGCACAGAAAATGCCAGTAGTTTTTTTTTTTTTTTTTTTTTTTTTTTTTTCTGTATAATCATTAGATTACTCTAAATTAACTGCATGTGAATATTAATGATATATTACTTCATTTGAGAACTTAAAAATTAGTAATGTGGAAAATTCTTTGGGCATGCCACATGCATAGCTGCCAATTTTCTCAGTTATTCACCCTATATTGTGATCTTTCAGTAGATCACAAAATCCCTAGATTTTTAATTTTTAGCCTTTATCAAGAAAAGTATTTTTCAGTAATAAATGAAATTTGTTATACAGTCAAAAGTCTTTAATCCGGACGTTTATAATCAGGACCTCAAAGCTACAAACTTTCTGTGCATGAGCATATGCGTTTATGCATGCACGTAATATGTTTATGCATGAGCATTTAATGTATAACGGACAGTATAAGCTAAGCTAAAATTATCTAATTATCTATTTCAGTTAATGTTTCAGATTGCGTTGTTCCTTAATCTTCTAATTGGATCCGGCTTATTATTTTTTGCAGACTGTTAGAGCAATTTTATAAAAGTAAGCTTGAACTTTCGATTATGTTAAAAAGAATTTCTGATACTGGAACTGCCAAATGATCTACAAAGCGAAAGCATGTTTCGATGTCCATTAAACAAAAAGTGAAATTTCTGCAAAAAATGGATAAAGGCATGTCCTTTGTTTCTCTAACCATTCCGAAATCTGTTTATCAATTTCACGCTGCTCTGCGGGGGGGGGGAGACGTTGCATATTTGGCTTATAATTCCTTACTAAATGTAGTATTTCATCTTGATGTACTCCGTCTTTGATATGATTTAAATCAAATTCCTCATCATTATACTAAATATCACAAATACACGTCAAATAGTTTTCTGGTTGCAATTTTCTAATTTTGACTATGTGTAATGTATGCTTTACGAATGCGCGCGTCGAAAGAGATGTTTAATAAAGTAAACAAATAAATATTAAGCTTTTTTTTGTAAATTTTGATACCCTTTAGATCACAATTGCTCTTTATTTCATAAATTATGGTTTCATATTTTTAATTTTATAATTTCTGCATGCTGTCTTACCAGATTTAAATTGATGATCTATAATCCGGATTCGCCGAAGTCCTGACGAGTCCGGATTAAAGACTTTCGACTGTATTAATAAAACTGTAGGCAAATTTCATTCCCTTACTCCTGTTGATTCAATCCGAAATGTTTTAATCTGCTGTACATATTTGTAAACTTTATAAGAAGGTTCAATAATGTTTAATTAGTTAATATATGTATTCAATCTTTTTACGTTAATATATGGCACATTGCTATGTTTATCCATTCAGTAATCATGTACAATAATTATTAATTTTATCCTCACCATATTTAGAAATATTTTTCTTTCCTTATTCAGGATTTTTCTCAGCATAAAAGAAATAAGATTCTAAATGTAAGAAAATTCCAAACGAGATAAACCAAAAAATAAAAATTAGATTAATTATTCAATATTCATATATTTTATGTTAGAATCATACAGAAAATTACATTATATTTGTCTTCATTATAGTCTCCATTATGCTATGCTACTCAATACGATGTTTAAACAGCATAACTGTCAAGTAATAAAGATGTATTGTGATTTTCCAAGGATTTTATGGTTCTTCAAGACATTTAGATAAATTTCCAAAGATAATGTAATGTATCTTTGGCAATTCTATCTGCATGTATGTCACACCTATTAATACTTAGACCACAATCAATAAGTTGATTGACTTCATTTTGTCTAGTCAACTCTCCGCTAAATTGCATGAGTGTGAACCTTTAAATTATCACATGATATATATATATATATATATAATATATATATATATATACATAATACATGAAATACACCTTAATCTTTTAAGGTTCACATTATTGGGGACCACATATTCTTTAAATTTTGTTTAAAGGACAATTTGATTTAAAATTTTATTCTTTAATTTGACATTTCTTATGGTAGTCTTTTTTGCATTTTAATGTATCTTTGGCAATTTTGTTTTTCAGAGTTGTCAGTTTTTCATAATGTAGTATTTTTTACTCATTTTCTCTTTTTTTTCAAAGTGTTCAAATGCATGTAGGGAAAATTCTGGATACATTTGAGATTCGATCTTTTAATTTTAATTAAATTTAAATGTTGCCTTTTTTTAAAAAAATTGTTTGAAACTTTTATCGGTTTTTGATGTCAAATAATTCAGAAGAACGAAACACTCATTTGAGACAACATTAATCAACTTTTATGAAACTTTAATTTATATTCCCCTGGTGAGCTCTGAATTAGGGTTTCAGACAAAGGAGTTTAATTTATAGTTTTTATTTCTATTACCAATTTGCTTTTTAATTTTTGGGTTTATTTTACTGATGAACTCTTATATTAATTTTGATTATGTTTAGTTACAATGTTAGACCTTTTTCCATGGTTTCAATTATTAATACTAATAGAGAATTGCCATGTCTTGATTCCAATTTAATTTAATTTTAATTTTGGATGCTTTATTTTTAATTTGCGTTAATCTTTCAGCTATAGCACAGGATAGGTTAAATTTTTGTTTTTGGCATATTACGTTTTCTTTATATATATTTATATACTTCTTGTGCAGCTAATTGCAACCAAAAAGGGAGATGCATAGTTACATGTTATAGCAGTCCTATATGCGAAATTTCAATGCTCTGAGGCTATTCGTTTTTGAGTTATGTGGGATTCATACGTACTATGTCCAGATCCCATGAAAAAAGCTCTTCTGAATCCATTTTAAATCAGTTTTATAATTCATTTGGGGGGAAAAGAATTAAAAAAAAACTTCAATTTTTGTTTCAAATAAGGTTTTAGCTTTTTAAGGCTGAAACTAAATTTTATTATTTATAGAAAACTATATGAAAAGTTTTTCATTTTCTTGGTATTAAAAGTGTAGGTTAACATAATTGGGGATCACCCAATTTTTTAGCATTGTTTAAATGACAATTTAATTTAAAGTATATTTTTGCTTTTTATTTGTAATTGCTTTTGAATATCGGATGTTCGAATAATGTTTTTTTTTTTTTTTTTTTTTTTTTTTTTTTTTTTAATGTCAGTTTGCATAATGTAAAGTTTTATGTTTTTTTGGAGTAGTCAATTTTGGTACAATGTAAGGTTTCATTCTTTTTTTCGAGTGTTTCGAAAGCATGTAAGGAAAATTCTGAATGCATTTGAGATTGGATTTTTTTGGTTCTATATGAGTTTTAATGTCTTAAATGAAAATGTAATTGAATCCTTTTTCAGTTTTTGATCTCAAATGAACCAGGAGAACGAAACATATTAATCAACTTTTATAAAACATTAATTCATTTTTCTCTGATGAGTTCTGAATTGGAGTTTCAGTAAAAGGAGATTAATTTTTATAATTTTGTATATTTTTCCTTTTCGCATTTTTATTTTTCGAGTTTGTTCTACTAATGAATTCTTATTTTAATTTTGATATCTTCAGATATTGTGTGAAACCTCTTATACATGGTTGCAGTTATTAATATTCTTGAGGAATTGCCTTTCCTCAAGAATTTGATTCAAGTTTAGTTTTAACTTTAGATGCTTTAAGTTTATATAGATATATGGATTATATGTGCTCATATCCATTATTGTTGTTCATTAATGTTTAATATTACTGTTTATTAAGACTCAGTTACTTTTTATAGTAGAAATTAAGCCTGCCTTTAAATATTTTAAGTTATTTATAATTTGTAGAAGTACTTGTAAAAATAATCAAGCTGATTATTTTAATTCTTTTTTCAGAATACCTTTATGCACAATGATTAACAATTATTTGCACATACTATCAAAGAAATTTCCATCTGTGAAATTCCTTCGTAGTATTTCAGACACTTGCATTGAAAATTATCCAGACAGAAATCTCCCATCAGTTTTTATTTATTATGAAGGTCAGTTGAAGGAAAAATTCATTGGTCCAGAAGCTTTTGGAAATCTCAACTTTAAAGCTGATGGTAAAAGATATACTACATATTTTGTTTTTATTTTTTAATGCAGTACAGCTCTTTAAAGTAAGTTGCTTTAGAATGACTTATTCATGACATCATTTGCTCATCTTTAGTTTCGTGGCATATTTTAAAGAAAACCAGTACTTTTCATGAGACAAATGCGTTAGAGAGGGCAGTCTGAATGGAAGCTGTTGTTGTTTTTTTTATTAAGTTTTGATATGTTTATAGTTTATATGTGTAGTTGTGATTCTTTGAGAAATTTCAGTTCGCTTCGTATCTTCCTAAACTTTTCAAAAATGAAATTCAAAGGCTTTTGAGCGTTGAGCAGATAGCTGGAGGTAACCATTGTTTAATGCCTAAAAATGAAATAAAATAGACAAGTCTGAAAACAGTGTGTGAATCGATTCTGGAAATGTGGGAGTTTTTACTGTTAATAACTGAGGAGAATGGGATTTTCAATGACATGGATGGTTATGATAAATATTTAATCTGGCAAAATATTGAAAGTAATGACAATGGCATTTATGAATTTGTAGCATTGGGCAAAAAGAGTGAATCAGATTAAAAAAAAAAAAAAAAAAAAATCATTAATACTTTGCTTCAGTGTTCTAAATAAAATTATCCTGTTTAATAATTTCTATTCAATTCTTATAGGTTCCAGTTATGAATCAGTAACTTCAATCAGTAAAAGAAATCAATTTTTGCTTTTAAATTGTTTAAATAATAAAAATAGACTACTTACAAGCTGTTTGCTGAGATATATTAACTTTTAAATCTGTCGTATAAAATCATGATCAAATGTGTTGATCAAAAATGACAGGAAAAGCGTGGAAAAAAATTGGATATTTCGTAATAAAAAATTATGCAAATAAGTGTAGAAATAAGAGGGAAAATAATTGGTCTTTGATTAGTTTACAGAAAAAATACATCATTTTTATAGAAGACAGGAACAAATTCTCTCCTTATTAAGAAGCAACAGTATTCTGTGTTGTGGACAGAAATATGTCATTTGAATAATTAAGATGAAGTAAAAGAAAAACAGAAATAAATATAATCACAAACTAAGAACAAAGGATTTTAAAATTTGGAATATTTAAATAAGAATAAATATCATTAAGTTTGTAGATTTTAGTGAATGTGGCAGATTTGAGTTAAATCTAATTCGTTGACTAAAAAAAGTCTTTTGGATAATTTTTCAGGAGCTAAAATCAAAAGAATTCTTAATGGGCTTACAGTGATTGGCAAAGGAAAATTTATTTATTTAACCTTTTTTGAAATGAGATCCATATTCTTTAAAATGTGATAAATGCAAGGCAATGTATGTTTGATTTCTTTCACATATGGGTTAAATATTTTATAAATATTTTTGATATGTTTAACCCGTAATAAAAACATGACATATTGATTCTTAAACAGAAATATTTTTCTTTTTAAATATATAAGATGTTAACTTTTTTTAATTTCTAGAAAAAAGAAAGTAAAGCAAAACTCTGAATAATTTGCAATAATTTGAACATAAATACTTATTTTTCATTACTGATGAATTATTTTTAATATGACAGAAGAAACTGGTTTTAAAAATCTCAGATAAGAAAATTTTGAAAATTACACATAACTATTAAAAATATAAAACTTATGAAAGCTTATTAAAATAAATACAAACACTGTACAAAGTCCGAGATCCAGACGTCCAATATCCAAAATGATCTAAAATCTGGACCTTAAAGCCATCAACAAAATTTGTTAGGAACTTTTTTTTATTTATTTTATTTTTATGCTTTAAGCATACAGATTTAATTTTTTCCTTCATAAGAAAACATGGAGAATCCTGACTCTTAATTTCACTTTGGCACTAAATAAAATACATCGTTATTGAAGAAGGAATCATTTTAGCATAAATTTGTGTGATCAATGATTTGGATCTGTAGCTGCATATCTGCTTGGTATACATTTCAAATATCTTTTCTAATATTTTATATCCCTGACGCCAGCCTGGCAAATCATTATTTATTTTATTTTGCTTTCATCACAGTACATTTATCAACACATGACAACTTGAATAATCATGCAGCGATCTCTGAACAATTTTTTTATATTAGTAATTGAATAGCAAAGAGTATTTTTCATACTCTTTGTTATTCAATTACTAATATTCCTTTTATTTTGACATTACGCTTGGCAATGATTATAGATTTAAGTTAAATACACTAAATGTTGACAAAGAAAAATTTAATAAAAATTTCTTTCCATATGCTAAAAATAAATTTTGTTAATGATACTCATAATCCAAAAGATTACATTTAGTGTTATTTGAATTAAGAATAACTGATTTTTTATTCTCATAAACCCAGAACTGGTGCCAGAGCTTGTATGGCCACACTGGGCAGCAGAATTTAGGGAAGACAAATTTCGAGAAGCACCGAGTAACAAAATTAAGGGATGATAAAATTTTTAGAATTTAGGGAAAGCACTGAGACCCAAAATTAAAGGACTGCAAAAATTTAGAACATAGGAAGGTGCTTAGTAGCAGAATGTATCACCCACAGAGGCTGCGTCAGGCGGCAAAATATCTAGTCCCGGCCCTCAGTAATTTTAAGTATATGTAGGAATTTATTTATTCAGAAGATAAGCCTTAAGCATGTGAACAAATTAGACATAAGTATAATAAATAACTAAATATAATTCAGTCTTAATTGTCTCGGTGCACGATAGAAGCAAGGCAGCATCTATTGGAACATTTTGTCACCATGCTACATAGCCAATCTTGTATAGCAGATGCTGTTAAGCTAGGCTAAAATTATACTTTACTGATTCCAAAGAATTTCAGTTAATATAGCAGATTGTGCTGTTTCTTAACTTTCCGATTGATCCAGCTTATTATTTTTTGTAGGCTGTTATAATTACGGCAATTTTATGAAAACTAAAGTTTGAACTTTTGATTATGTCGAAAAGAGTTTTTAATTTTGGAGCTGCAACAGGATCTACAAAGGAAAGGATGTTTTGATGTCCATTAAACAAAAAGTGGAATTGATCCAAAAAATGGATACAGGTATATCCGTCTCAAAATTATGCGAGGAGTATGGCATTGGAAAGTCAACTGTATATGACATAACAGAGAAAGGAACTTTGTGAATTTTTGTGGATTCCGACACCCCACTCACAATGAATAACAGAAAAATTATTCGCTATGCTAAAAGTGACGATCATGACAAAGTGATGATTGAATGGTTAGACAGAGATGCAGCAAGGGCATGCCATTGACGGGTCCAATGCTAATGAATCGAGCCAAAATATTTCATGAAGAAATGAACTTAAAAACTGAGTGCACATATTCAATAGACTGATTAACCAAATTTTAAAATCGCTGTGGTGTAATGCAATTAAAAATTTTAGTTTAAAATGCTTCAGCTGATACTGAAACTGCTGAACTATTTGCAGATGAATTCATTGAACTCATTAATAGTGAAATGATGTAGCAGAATAAAAAATTTACAGAAATTTACAGGGCAAATTTACAATATCAATGAAACTTTTCTTTTCTGACATTATGTACCATGAAATACCTTGGCAACCTCTACAGAAAAGGTTCCAACTGGTGTCAAAGATTAAAAAACTAAACTAACAATTTTAGCAGGTGCAAATGCTGCAGGAATGCATAAGTGTAAACTTTTCATAATCGGAAAAAATACAGGACCTCAAGCATTTAAAAGAGTAAAGATTTTCCCATTATATATCAAGCAAATAAAAGAGCATGGATGACACAAGCATTCGTGTATGATTGGTTTGAAAATCATTTCATGGAAAATTTGAATTCGGTTGGTTTACCTGATGACTCAAAAATTGTCCTGATTGTAGATAACTGTTCAGCTCATATTTCACTTAAAGTTTTAATGAAAGATAACGTATCCATGTTATTCTTTCCTCCAGGTCCTTCATACAGCCTATGGGTTTGGAATAGTATGTGCGCGGAAGTGCAAATGTAAAGTCGCATTTTTAAAATCCATGCTAAATTTCTTGAATATTGGCAAGAATTTTTGAAATATTTTAGCATAAAATCTGCTTTGTGGAGCATTGCAAAATCGGGGGAGGATGTGCCTCCAGATACTTTAAGATGCTTGACATAATTTATGACCAGCTACCAATTTTTCATGGTGAGGCTGATGAAGATGATAGCCATGAATTTGAAGGCTTTCGGATATTGCACACTACAGGTGAAATTTTCCAGTTGATGGATTTTGTAAAGAAATGTGCAGAAGCGATAATAAATGAAGATGATATAGCAAAGTTTATCCATGCAATCACAAGGCTCCAGTAATCAATCAATTAGCCGACAGCGACATCTGTAGTATGGTTCTAGATCCATAAAATACCACTAACGATAGTGAATAAAATGACAGAGGGGTTATTGAAAACGAAAAAATTTTGATTGACAGGTTAGTCGGAATTCTTGACACAGCAACTACAGTACTTGAACAGTGGAACTTTGTAACTGAACAAGAGATTATGTCTGTCTATAGAATTGAAGAGAAAGTATTAGCACAAAACACGAAGCAACTTGAACAATTTATATTCAAAGAAATGTTTAATAAAGTAAACAAATAAATGGTAAGCTTTTTTTTTTTTCCTTAAATTTTGATACCCAGTTTGAATCATAAATGCTTCATTATTTCATAAATAGTGACTTTTTATTTTATTATTTTTACATGCCATCTTAATACTTGTAGAGTTAAACTGATGATTTAATATTTGGAAAAATCCCAAATCCAGTATTGCCGAAGTCCCGATGAGTCCGGATCTGGGACTTTGTACTGTATTGTAATACAAATTGGTTGATGATGAAGTTTTTGCCAGGCAAAACTTGGGAATTATTTAGTAACAAAAATTTTAGCATATTCTAAATATCATCATTTTGAATGTAATCACTGAAGTTCAATTTAGTGCATTGCATACATATACACAGGAATTTCGCCCTTCTATGGACTGTTCTGTGATATGGAAACATATTT